ATTAGGGGGAGACATGATCACCACCTACAAAATACTCAATGGAATTGACAGGTGGAAAAAAAGAAACTATTTAGCATGGGTGGAACACGAGCAAGGAGACACAAGTGATAAACTTAGTTTTCAAATGAGCCACAGAGACATAAGAAAGATTTGTTCAGTGTCAGAGTAGTTAGCAGATGGAATACATTAGGCAGTGATGTGGTGGAGGCTGACTCCATACACAGTTTTAAATGTAGATATGATAGAGTCCAGTAGGCTCAGGAATCTGTACACCAGTTGACTGACAGTTGAGAGGCGGGACCAAAGAGCCGGAGCTCAACTCCCACAAACACAACTAAGTACCTAATTTCCATATTTTATGCAAATATGGTAAGTCAGTATAGTTGACCTCGATGTGCTTTAATACAGGCTTCCTGTCCCCGATGGTCGGTAATGACATTGCTGGCATATTGGACAAGGTTGTTAGAGTTGACTCGTGTTTCACTCTGTCGCGGCACTCCAGGAAGACGAGCTTTCTCACTCTCGTCACACTGTCTCCACTCTCATCCTTCACTCTCCGGCACGTGAGGTGCACTACGCACCTCACGTGCACTATATATATATATATATATATATATATATATATATATATATATATATATATATATATATATATATATATATATGTATATATATAATATATCTCAATATCATAAGAGAGAGAATAGCTATCTGTTTATCTCTCCAAAGTTGGAGGCCAGACACATTGAGATACCCTTACCCAAATTGGTAGAATTAATGGTCTAGATGTAAAGTGTCTTGTATAGTGACTGTTGTGAGCCTCTTGTTGAATCACTCGTGATACAAAAGATTATTGATGTGTGTATTTGTGTAGGTGATTAAATATGTATGTGTATGTATATGTATATATATATATATGTACATGTATGTATATGTGTACATGTATATATAACATTAATAATTGTGTAACTAGCGTCAAAATTTTTTATTAGCTTAGCTAAACGAACCAAAGGGTTCAGTTCCTGAACCCATTATGTGCCTCTGTAACCCTTTACACCACCGCCCACGGGATGGATATGGGGTGCATAATAAAGAAAGAAATTGGTATGGGATAAACATAGGCTGATTGGGGTCACCAGAACTCAAAAGGTCACAGCGTGCCAGGGGGTCACATATTCAGACCCCCTTGACAATTTTTGGCACCACCCGCTGGGTATATAGCTAAATATATTCATAACAAACGTTTCGAAATATTTTTTATATAATTTACATCTATATTCACTGATTTCGGGAAAATGTACAGAAATCTCCTATTTGCCCGAACAGACGATTTATCTTTACTACAACAGACGATTGTTGACCTTTTGAGTTCTGGTGACCCCAATCAGCCTATGTTTATCCCATACCAATTTCTTTCTTTATTATGCACCCCATATCTATCCCGTGGGCGGTGGTGTAAAGGGTTACAGAGGCACATAATGGGTTCAGGAACTGAACCCTTTACTTCAAAGATTTCTCGACCCATGCACCGTTCTCAAAGGAGAGTTCAGTGTGGAATCAGTGGGCAGTGGAGACAGGATGACCACTCCCTCAGCCAGTACATCTCTGCCGGGAGTTATGGATTAAGGTAGAGTCGCTTGTTGACTGCAGTAATTCTTGAATTCATAACCATGGTAAAGATAAGGATATTTCAGTTTTAGGGAGTGTTCAATTATAACTTTGTGTGCAATAAATTGTGTTGATTTGATGGTGTTTAGTGGAATTTTCCCCCAATTTTATATTTTATTATTTCTGATCATTAAAATCCTGTATTTTGTACTATAAGCCCATTTACTCTTGTAAGCATCTTTATCTATTCAATATATTCTCTCTTGGTAAATTAGTTAAACCACACTTCATAGTAAATTCATCCCTACTTTTCTATAATTAGGAATTCACATACTGGGACTCTTGTTGCAATTGAACTGGTCCTTTCCAGCAGTCAATTAGCGCAATTACAGAAACCCTCGGGATAGGTGGTGACGCGTTTTTTAAGTCTCTAGAGAATTGCTTGTAACTGAAAGCCTCAGTGTCCTTGTTTAGTGGTACCTTGGTGATCAAACGCCAAGGTTACAAGGCCTCACTGGACCGGAGGTTACATTAAGATTAAAAATGGTGAATATCAGAACCGTTAAATAACAACCAACGTTAACCAGGAATAGTAAGGTAATAGCTGGAACCCGTTACAATGGTGGCAGTGGCGGGTAAGCGTTATATGTTATAAACTATTATTCATCTAGCGGCTACCTTAGAAAAGAAAACACATAGATGCTTGTGGAGGCCTACCATATGAGATTATTATATGGCGGAGCCTCCATGTGGTTATACTGTGAAGCGAACATAGTTGACAGAGGCTAACACAGAGTTCGAAGTTTTCTGAGGCGGAGATAGAAGTTCTCCAAGGCTTCGGAGGAAGATGATGATGTACTGTATAGCTGAAGACTGGAGAGGTCCCGAGGTACTGCCAACGAGTTAGCCCAAAGACAAGAGAGTAGATTCAAACGGGTCTGGTCGGCAAGGTGCAGTTGGCGCCTTTGCCGGAGGCGGCTGCCTCGGGGGTGGCACGGAAAATCACCGCCAGGTATAACCTGGAGGAGGGTTATACCTGGTGTATAACCAGGTATAACCAGGTATATATGTAATTGCTCCCACTGGCAGGCAGTTTCAATGTGGCTCCCTCCACACCCCCCCTCCTGTCCCTATAAAGTCAGGGGTATGTTTTAAAAAGAGTAACTCTTATCTGTTTTCTAAAATAGACAGCTGGAATATGTAGCCTTGGTGTGGGGAAATTCTTTCAACATATAGTTTACTATAATTATAAATTAATTAAATGGACTATATGAATAAATAACATAAGTGGACTGTATGAAATTAATAGTTGGATATTTCCACTTCCCACACCTTTTGGGGGTAGATTAAATACTGCTAAACCTACCTAATGAAGTGAATATGTTTGCATAAATTTAAAAATAATCTTTTATAGAATTAATAGTTATGGAGTTAGTAAACTAACTACAATATCATAACTAAATGTTTATCAGCTTAGCTGTAGAGCAGATAATGAGAAGTGCGTCTGACAGCCTCCCAAAATCAGTTAAATCTTCTCTCAACATGATGGTGTCGTGGACACGTAACTCATCAGTTGAGATGACTCACTCTCGTAGATATACCTCCACACTGTGAAAAACAAAATATAATTTCTATTGAATTACAATCATATTAACTAATTTCCATTGAAGGGATCAACTGATTTACGGAATTAAACTTACTAGGTTTATTTGATGTTCCTACGTCCTAACGATCGGACAATCTAACACTATTATGGCCCTAAAGAATGATCAGATTAACTTGTTGACCAGACCACACACTAGAAATTGAAGGGACGACGACGTTTCGGTCCGTCCTGGACCATTCTCAAGTCGATTGTGAATCAGATTAACTTATCCGACTGGACGTGGTGTCCCCAATGTAAGATGAAGCAGGCAGTAACGTCTGGGATTCGTTATTGTTCAGATGATCCCAAATTAATGCGACGTTAAGTGGCGAGGATCTCGGGACATTAGTCAATATGGTTCCAGCAGAGCAAGTGACGGGCGCGCCCTCTACCTTCCTCTCGGCGCCTTATCTCAGCATACAAGTCACGGTATTCTACTACGTCCTATTTTCTATCAAGATGTTACCGACGTTATTTTACGTCTTAATAATGCACCTCAGACATCGGCAGATGATTTTCCACTGTTTATATTATTGAACCAAAGCGTCATTAGATCAAAAACACATATGTAAATAATATTCAGTTCGTGACTTTTAATCAACCTGAATCGGCTGATCGTGGCTGTGGAAAATAACACATAAATGTGGAGATATTATTCATGTTAAATCACTCTATGAATTAAATCAATTTCCAATCTAAATTACCTAGAAAATTAAGCAAAGGTTAGACTGGGTTTAAATCGATTTGAATAAAGAGTTTATTCTCATGGGAGTTGGATGGCTGACGTGACAGCGGCCATGTGTATTAGGAAGAATTTGTGGGCACTACGCTACTTGTTAGTAAATTTAATTTCCTAGCACAATAATTTGTCTTATTATACTAGGGGTTAGTATTTAGGGTTTCGGAAATTTCCGACACTTGGTAAATTATGGCTGGTACTTATAAAAATGAAGCAATTATATTAATTTATTAAGGTAATTATTTAATATTTCTGAATTATAATACAAAGTACAGTATAAATTTTAGAGAACTGAGGTACTTTTCCATATTTTAGTTTTTATATCCTGTTTGCGAGTATTCATTGTCATTTCTGTTTACTTTTCCTTTGTCTCTTACTCCAATTCTCTTCTTTACATATTTACCACTACACCACTCTTGATATTAAAGGGGTAATGTGTTCCTTCAGTTCTACAAAATCTGCTCCTAGAGAAATGACTTCTTCCGTAGTAACGGCCTTCATGCCTAAGCGCTACTCCTTGGCTGTGGTCTCTTCTTCGACATAGAGCAACACTTTCAACACCTCTATCATCCCCTGGATCCCAAAGGAAAGCAATTCTATGACTTCCAGTGACCGACTTACGGCTGGTTCCTCTTTTTCTTTCTTCGGTACTTATCGTTCCTGAATTGAAAGCTCGGTGCTTCGATAGCATCTTAAACGGCTCAAGACCAAGAGCATCACATCATCTAACTTTCCATAAAAACTTATCCTCGGAAGAACCCACAGGCCATCCAAGGCCCTGTGGGATTTCTGGCAGTAAGTACATCTCCCATAGGGCAGTTCTTGTAACCTAACTCCTCCCTCAAAATGAGAGTAGAAGGAAGAGACACCTAAAGTCTTAACATCTTCCCATGAAGGTTGGTTATTCCTCCAGGCCACATCCTGAACCTGACCTATTTGATCGGCTTGGACATTGTCCTGAAGTGCCACTTCTATCCTGCACCTGAACACTGAGGGAACTTCATCTGATTAGTTCTTGGCCAGAGTAGTTGGACTCTGCTGATCCTCCTCGTCAGTATCTGTTGCTTCTGCCCCTGAACCCATTTCTTGATTAATTTCTGAACAAGTCAAGTTCTCTTCTATAACCTCTCCTGAAGATTGGATATTTGTCTGGGCATTCTTCTGCCCTCATTCAGGTAGCGTATATTCCTGAAGGGTACTTTCTTCCTTGGTCCTAGACTCTAACACCAAAGGAAGTTCACATGGTGAACTTCCATGGCACAGAAGTGCCATAGCCACGGCATAGCCACTTTCACATGGTGAACTTCCATAGCCATGGCATGGCTAATGCCATGTGCCGTGACATTAGCCGTGCACTTGGGGCGTGCATGGCAGTGCATGGGCCTAGTTCTGGTAACCCGTATCCGAATCATCCCTTGTTAGCTCTCGCTAGAGAGCCTGAGTTGTCAGCATCCCAAATATGCTACAATGGCCATTGTCGCCAATTTGTGGAAAGAGTTAGAGTGAGCAGCAGCTTTCATTGTATAGAGCGATGTGACAGAGGGTTTGAGCGCGAAAGCGAGCCAGGCATGGAGACACAGGTGGCCTACCATGCGTCACCAGCCTCGTTACCAAGGCAACGCCGCCAGCCATCTTGGAATCGCCCTACAGCCATGGAAGCTCGTCTCTGATTGGCTGAGGAGAGTAGGCACCTGTATGCCTTTCCTCTGGTTGATTTGTTTGAGGATAACCCGGGAAGAAGCTGGCAGATGCTGGGAAGAAGCAATTCTGCCTTTAGCCGCCGCTCTTGCATGATGTCCTGTGTTGCTCATTCGGCCAAATTGAGTAAAAGGGTGACGTGGCGGTTGGTTACTCTACACCTCCAGCTACCAGCACCATCGTTGAGGGTCCGTGGAACGTAGCAGAATCCGGGAACTCGCCGTATTTGGGGGGATAGCAAGGGAGTGTAGAAAGAAATCGTGGAAAGTAGGTAAGGTTCATACGAAGAAACAACAGACTCGTGGGTCCCCATTCCAGTGATTTATCAGACGCTCTGACCATCTGCTAGTGATCTGTAGCAGTAAAGGAGAAATTCGTGCTAGTGTTCAGGAGAGTTTTCCCATAGAAATTCGAGATAAGAGACGCTGGGCGTGAATGCGCCATCCATGTACGAACGCACCGCTCGCCGGTGGGGGTTACGAACCGCGCCATGTGTTGTGAGGGAGGTTACGAAAACGTGCCAAGCCATACGAAAACGCCACTGCGCTAGGCTACCACCTAAGCCTCCGCCGCCTTGAGGAGTAGCCAGCCACCTACAGCTGGGTGCCTGGGACCCAGGACACTTGGGGTGTGCATGTGAGCCGGCTGTGTAAATGAGAGCAAGTACCCTGTGTGTGTTTTGGTGATTATTATCTCTTAGCCTGAATTAGAGGTCAGGTGTTCCGTCCCATTGTTTCCAAGCACTTGTGGAGGTGAGGAGAAGTGCGGGCACATGAGATTTTCACCCTTATTGACATCTTGTCAGTCTCAGTGGAATTGAGTCTGGTGAGGGCTGACGTACAGTCCCTGTACGTGCGTGTGGGAGAACACACGGGAATAGAGTATACATATATTAGCCAAGGACTGTGAGGGCTGTCCTAGTGGTTATATTCCACTCTGTTAGGATTTATGGTAATTCATTCTAGGTGATTATCTTGTTCCATGTGGTGTAATCTTTTACAGGAGAGGAAGTCCAGTACTGGTCATAAGTGCACAGGTAAAGGGTCAGTGTGTAACACCAGGGATTTCCTGGCATTTGATTATGGTGGAGTACTACCAGTGTGTTATTCCTCATGTTGTGTTCCCCAGGGCTGTGACAAGTGTGATTATATATGTGGCTGACGTGTTAATTTTGGTAGATTTTGTGATGAGTAACGAGGCTGTCTAGAGTGACAGCTGACCGCTCTGTCGAGTAACGTAAATTCTCGGGAGTAATTATCGATCCGTGGGATTGCTAATCACTCACCCAAGATGATTCAGGAGTGTACTCACCCATTTGTGCTTGCGGGAGTTGAGCTCTGGCTCTTTGGTCTCGACCAAAGATCTCCTTGGAGGAGTGTGTGATCCTTGGAGGAGTGTTGACGGGTATCCTTCCTCACAACACTCCACCATAGAGGAGTGTTGTGATTTCTTTAGTGTTCCCATTAACGTTTTGATAGCTGAAGGCTACAGGTCAGCAAGGATATAATTATATATAATCATAGTGTCACAAAGCCCAGTGTGTTATTGCTGTAGTTGCAGTATATAGTGTTATTGCAACCGGGTTGCAACGTGTGGACCAGTGTTCTAAGAGGTAATTAGAATACCAGGTGTTATTGCAACAGGACAGTAAGGTGTTGTGCTGTGTTCTAATATATTGAAATTAGAGCACCTGATTGTGTGTGATTATTGCAAGGGGTTGCATTGTTGGGCCGTTATTGTTGCTAGTGTTGATCAGTCACCGTGTGTGTTTTTACAGTCACTAAATTGTGTTGGGCCGTGTTCTAGTGGGCTAGAGCACTGAGTGTTATTTTCTGGTGTTCTGCAGTAATTGTAATTGCAACCGGATTTATATTATATTAAATCACTGAGTGGACCGTGATTTATTATGGTCGTGGGTGAAACTTGGGCATTGAGTCAAGTACTTGGTGTTATATTTCCTGTGTAACTGGTGGGCATTGAGGTCCAGTATTCAGTGAGGTGACTGCAAGGGTAACTGGTGGGCATTGAGGTCCAGTATTCAGTGAGGTGACTGCAAGGGTAACTGGTGGGCATTGAGGTCCAGTATTCAGTGAGGTGACTGCAAGGGTAACTGGTGGGCATTGAGGTCCAGTATTCAGTGAGGTGACTGCAAGGCAATTAATGTAACGCAGCTAAGGGAACATCCAATGCTGAAAGAGAAATTGTTCTTTAACAATTTGAGTAACGTAAGATGCGTTTGGGTTAATTATTTTCCTAGGTGGTAGTCTCTCAGGGAGCCTAGCCAAAGCCAGACAAGAATTGTAGAATTGCAGGAGAGGGCTGAATTATACTCTTAATATTGTTTGTTGCAAATTATCAGTCAAGGGACAGGTAATTAAAGGGTTCCAGGAAGTCAAAGTAATTAACTTCGATTAGGGTTGATCGACTCACACGAAGGCTCCATTGTTTCAGTAACGTAACGTCGGTTATTGATCTGTCAGAGGACAGGTAATTTGATTGACTCTGGGGAGAGTAACGTCATTGTAAAATAACGTAGACGTGGTGATTAATTGTAAGTTCATGGAATCATGTATTAGTCACCTGAATCCGTCGTGGTATGGAAGGCCCAGATGGAATTCATACCATTAATGTAAATTGTTGAGCCAGTGTGAAAGGTGACGTATTTGTATTAATTAATTATTGATCTTCGGGATAGTAATTAATTGCTCGAGGGTAGTCAAGGGTGATTGACGTTCTCTTAGCACTTTGGACATTGTGATTGTAGTAAACTATCGAAGGGGCGATAGTAACCGATAACGTAAATCGTACGGGGATTAATCAGCTGTCTGGAAGTACAGGGATTAATGAGGATTACTCACTGAATGCTCGACGGGTAGAGTGTTTGTGTAATTCCGAGTTACTAGTGACAGTTGTACAGGTTGATCTGTCTGTGGGAGACAAGATTAAGTTGTGGGAACTCTAACTCTCAATATAATGATATTTAATTAATTAAATCAAAATACTCGAAGGACCACTCTTTTTTTTTACTGAGAAGGGAAACAGATAACTAATACAATAAAATAGACTGAGACACCAGTGTCTATGGATGGTGTAATCATCCAGAATTATTTATAGGGCATTAATGGACTGTAAGAAAAATTATTACTCAAGAGTTAAACATTCCCAAACCAAACTGGGGGGTTAATACTAGAAATTAATACATATCTAGTACACTTAATTGATGCTAATTCATCATCAAGGATTTAGTAAAATTTACTAAGAAGTATATAAATCAGAAATTAAGTAAATGTTCAATGAATCAATTATCTCAATAGAACATAAATTAATCAATGGTAAATAATGCTATAATCAGCACAACAGAAATAATTGTTCCAAACAATGTGTTAGTAACTGACAAGAAATATAAGCCCAAAATTTATGGGGCTTATACAATCAAAGATTATTACAGTTTACACACGTAAGGAGGTTAGTAGAGAACTAAATTAGGTTTAGCCTCTTAGCTGTGGTAGTGAACAGTAGCATGGGTGTGGGGGTGGCGTCGTCTGGAACCTGCTAGAACATGCGTCCACCAAGCGTGGTGTGGGAGTTGATCTCTCCTCAGACGCAGTACACACTCTGCAATGTAACACCGCTCTAAATGTAACACCACTATAATGGAACACAACTATAATGTATACTAAACTAATAATGTATACTAAACTAATAATGTAAACACTACTTATCCTGAGTAACACTTCCTATCAGTGCACTTGGTAACACTGTAATTGAGCACTGTAATATGGGCTGACATATGATGGTTACACCGGAACTAAAAGATACACTGCCAACAAGGAAATGCTAACACAGGATGAAATACGCTGCCACCATCTGCCTTTGACCATTGAGACTATATCAAGCAACGAGGCAAGAAACAACCCCCACAGGGGGGAGGGGGGAGATCTGCTGTTGCTACCTACACCAAGATTGTAAGAAGTCGGCCACACGTGCACAAACACTTAAAAATATTTCAATTAAGCTTGTTTGACATTCACCATACACTCTTCAAGAGAGGATTACGTGTGTGACTGACCTCTGACCTGGCCAAAAGGGGGAGATCCATGGATGTTTACACATAAGAATCTGGAGTCTAATTCCATTGCAATGTTTGACAAGAGTATCATGAAATATTATATACTTGAAACTATGCTGACTAAGACTAACCCAGGAATTTTTTAATCAAAATACAAGATAATCCGGAGGTCATCTGGGCTGACCTCTTGGAGAAGGCTTCCCTGGGTGTGAACTCTAAGGGGGGGGGGGAGGGTCATGGGTGTTACAGCAAACTCAATAAAATGTAAATTCTACTTACACATTATTAAATACGCAATTATCAAGCATGAATGGGGGTAAATTCGTTCACTGGGGACTCACTTGTATTTAGAGGAGGGAACACGTCCTAACGTCAAACTAAGGGCTAAAAATAA